TTAAGTTTTATCTTAATCGTCCGTATTGTTATATAGCAATTCATTCATATAAATTCTATATTAATTCCGTATATTGGCAAAGCTGGGTGGCCATGGATGCTCTATTTATAATGGTGTAAAATAATTTCATAGGATGCTAATTTTTAACTCTGAAACGTGCATTCGAATTCGATACTATCTTAATTCTTGTTATATAGAAAAAAAAATATAATAAAAATTGAGGCAAGACATTGACTAGAATCTGAACCATATTATCAACTTTTACTGAAAAGTACTTTTCGTAATTTGCCGGTGGTGCTTTCCAAGTTTGTCCTTTGAAATGAATACAAGACAGAAGACGTTTACTTATCTCAAGTCAAACACGTGGGTCTTCTTTAAACTTTTTTATGACATGATGAAACAATTAAGTCAATTAACATATTAATATGTTCACACTACGATTGTCACTATAGAAGACGACATACTGATGTAAAGTTTAATGATTTCCAACGTCTCTTTTCAAGTTGAGGAACACTTCAATCTTCTACTGGTCCATCATATGATGTCGTCCACGATATCTAAGAATCCATTTAATATATCAACGACTTCAATTATATTATAAATCTAATCTCCCACACATCCTCTTCTAAAGCTGCAGCCTGAAATTCACATCAGTTACCCAAAAAACAAGATATTTTCAACCTGAAAAATGTTCATCTTCATCAAACCGTTGTTGCTTCTACTTTCTCTTGTTACTTTCTCTTTCATTCTGCCTGAAACAACATATGCTCAGCTTCCATTGCATCCCGGAGAAGGTAATTTTAATCACTCATTTATGGTTCCCAACTTCTTTGTCATATCTTAGTTATTATCCAATTCTTAATATCTAATCATTATAGTATTTTTTTCCTTTAGCCGTTAATTTAATGAATTTCAGAGAACCGATAAAAGAGAGAGGATAAATTATACTGTAATTATGTAATTACCTAAATTTCATAATAAATATAAACTTACTTAAGACTATTAAATAAGACATGACTAATTTATTTAAAATAAAATTTAATACGGTAATTGGTTTTGGAATTTGGTTGCTGTAAATAAAAATCTTTTTTTCAATTTATTTTGGTAACAGTAAGTATCAAAATAATCGTTTCTAAATAATTTATTTAACCTTACTTACAATTTTATATAGCAATCGATGCAACATTTGATCATATTTGATGGAGAAAGTTTCAAACACAGAATATTTCTTTATCAAATTCAAATAAAGTGTCATTTTTGTTGTCAATGACAATTGCATAAATAGATAGATCATTTAAAGACGATCATTTTAATATTAATATTGTTATTAAAATTCATGACGAATTTTTAGTCACAAGATTTTGACGATTGGATTTTAGTAATAGGTAAATGAATTTCTAACTTATGATAAATGAAAAAAAAAACTAAAATAAACAAATGTTTAAGGGTATTTAAGACTTTTTTTTTTGGTAAAGTTAACGGTAAATCACCATTCAGTGTCCCTAAATCGAAGAAAATTGAAACTTGTATCCTTTTTTTTACTATTTTGATAAAATATTGTACCTAAATTGATAGTATGCCTTCTAAATAATAGGAGACTGAGAAAGATATTGAAAATAGGGAAAATTGAAGAGGTAAGGGTAAAAAGTGACTATAAATGACAAAAAGATTTATATAATACAGTAATTAATTTATACATGGGGTTTGTAATTAAATTTAAGTTTTATTTCATTTGTCCCTAGTGATAATTAAATTAAGTCAAAAAAGCCCTAGTGATTTTCCAACATTATTAAATATCCCAAATAAAATATCATAAATCTGCAAAATATCATAAAACCCCTCATAAAGAGTTAAAAGCATAGACCCATGAGGTTAGATATAATAACAAAAATATCCTTTAAATTTCTTATATAATAAAAATTTCTTTGGTTCCGCTTGTTTTATTATTTCGGATAAGATTTTTGAAAAAGTAAGAGTTGGGTGGAAATAACGAGGCAGGATGTGAAAATTAAAAAAAAAAAAACTCTAAGTTTGTTAATTTACTAAACACCCATGTAATAAAAATATTAAAAATTACAAAAACACCCCCATCCACCTGTTGAATATTAGCAGCTTGCTACCACCACTAGAAGGTGGTCGGAGTCATCATATTGGAGCATGACCAATTGGATTTGATCGATCATACGTCGAGATGACCTTTTCCAACCAGATTTATTATGGATTTGGCCACTGATGGCTAGATCTGGTCGCGTTTGGTTGTCAACGACGGCCAAAGATATGACCATCGTTGATGGTCAATGAATATTTACTGAATTACCCTCTCATCGTTAATATTAACACATAAAACTTAACAACATACGGATTTCTGTTTTCCCATAAATTTTATGAGAATTTTTGTTATTTAATTGAACCTTACGGAATAACTGTCATTAACTCTATCATGAAACGCTATAGATAACATAAAACCCCCTAGTGAGCACTGAGAGTAGGGCGGTATGTGACAGTTTTTAATAATTCCGGGGACATTTTAACGTTATTATTAGCGGCGTATAAAATTAATTAATATTTTGTATTCAAATATAATGACGGGGGCGCCATTCAAATGAGTCTTATGCAGCTGCTGTACTTCGAGTGATAGCTAAGAAATTGGGCGCCCAACTCCTTAATTCTACAGATCCTTGCCAATTAGGGGAGCTCCCGTTAGCCATTCAACACCCGGGAGATCGCCAGAATAACACCATCATTTGTAACTGCACAATTGGCTCCTTCTCTCACATTACAAACATGTAAGTCCCCCTTACTTCTTCTTCTTCATCCTCTTATCTCTAGTACGTTCTGATAAGAAAATTTAACACTGATCGATTTCAATTAGGTGCAATTGAATTGATTTACTATTTACTTAATTTTGCATGGAACCAAAAATGAAATTATCAAATTGAGCTTTAACATGGTATTAAAGTTAATAATTTAATTTTTTTTGACCTAATAAATTCTTAACTTGATACTAAAGCTAGATGATGTCTCACCTACCTCAAGTTCGAATCCCCCCGTACCTCAATTCACTCCATTAAATCTCTCCGTTTCCCTGTTCTGTTTCGGCTTTTGTCAAGTTGTTTCTGAGCACTGTTAATTCGTAATAAGAGAGGGTATTTTGTGCTTCAAATGTTAAGTCATGTAGAAGTTTATATCAGATTTATGAAATTGGCGCTTTAGTTTTGCAAGTTTCACTTGGATAAGGATGCAGGTCTGACATTGTAGTTTTAGTTATTATTGAAGAGAGTTCAATTTCAAATTGTATCTATACTTGTTGAATTGTGAATTTTACCAAATTCTTTCTTTCAATTGGAAATAATTCTGTAGTCTATAATGATTTGATTTCAAACTATGTAATTGTTACGGAATCGGATATAGTTTTTTTCATGGGGGCTTCGTCTTTGGTGCAAAGGAAGTTTTCATTTCATTGTATTGAGATCATTTTCCTCATTACAACTTTTCCCTCTTTGAACTGCAGCGAGCTCAAAGCTTTGAGTCTTCAGGGCTCGCTTCCATGGGAATTGGTCAGCCTTACGTATCTCCAAGAAATGTAAGGACATTTTATCATATCTGGTTAGCACTTATTGGAAAGGGTGTGCTCTATGTCTTTGCCATGAGATATTTCTATAATAAAAACTTTTCTTTATAATTGTGTTAGTTAGGAATCTTTTCTTTAATAGATTGTGCATGTGATCTCTTTCGTAATAGACAATTCTAGTAAATGCAGGTTAATTTTAGGTTTAAAACTCTAGTTATTAAGGAAATTTAGATTTTCTGTGTCCAAAATAGTTTTTTATACTCAGAAACAGTTTTCTGTATTCTCAATTAATGAGAAACTTGGCTGATTAATTGTTTCCAGGATCATTAAAAAAATTGTTCATAAAGAACCTCTATTTTCTGGAAGATACATGTTAGTTTCACTGTTTAAAAAATCATTCAGAATGATCACATGAGAAGTTCCTATTCATGAAAAGTTTCAATACTTTATTACACAATTTTAACTATCAAAATACACAGTAATTGAAAACAACAAAATAATTTTCTGAGTTCTTATTCTTTAAAATAATAGTGAATACAAAATGAAGCTAACTGTAACCTGAATCATCCTTTGGACATAGGCTTTTAGAATAATGTTATGAATAATTTAATATACTAAGGTGCTCTTAGAATGAGTTATGGATATACCACAGTAGCTTTTAGGGTGATATTATAAATACACTAAAAGTATGTGTTAGAGGTGTGAACTGCCGGAAAGAACATGGCATTCCATTCTCTGAATATCCCTTGTCTTATTGGCATCTTAACTTTAACTTGTTTCAGGAGAAAATTTTTGTATGTAACATATTCTTCTCCTTAACAGTGACCTATCCCGCAACTATCTAAGTGGTACACTTCCAAAAGAATGGTCTTCAATGCAGCATTTGACCAGAATGTAAGTAAAAATTTTCAACTTTTTCTGGTTTAATGAAGGGAAATTTTTACTGACCCCTTAATTTTGTGGACTTAATATTAAAAAGATTTCTGTGGTTCCAAATTTCACCAAAAAGTACCCTTTTCATTGATAAATGTTGAAAGTTATCTCTTGACCCTTTGATGCTTAATTTTAAAGAGAGTAAACATAGGGTACTTTGTGAAGAAATTTGAACTATAGCGACCTTAGAGTATTTAGACTAAGGGGTTAGAAAAAATTTCCTTTGATGATCTTGGTCACAATTCAGGGTTTACTTCTTCATGATATGAATAATGACTAATGAATAATTGTATGCAGCTCCCTTACCGCCAACAACTTATCAGGGGAAATTCCCACTGACTGGGGATACTTTACCAATCTCACTTTCTTGTATGCTTTGATCTTCAAAAGCTCAATGCTTCTACTATCTCTAGAAAAATCCATATTGTTTCAATTCTTTTCATAATCTCAGTAAAACAAAATTTAGGAACGTTGAAGCAAACCAGTTATCTGGTCCTGTCCCTGAGGAGTTTGGAAATTTGGTCAACTTAACTACCCTGTATGACATCTTAACTCTTAACTTGATATTACATTTGCAATTGTTATTGAGAATATTAATCATATAACTACGGTGGTTTGGTGCCATGACTACGCAATTTCAGGGAACTTTCCTCCAATTATTTTTCTGGAAGGTTGCCTATAAAACTAGCAAAACTGAAGAACATGAAGAAGTTGTAAGTATTTTAATATATTTTCTCCTCCAGTCGAGATAGTTTAAAATCAACAGAATGCCTTTCACTTTGATGTGTGCAGTAGAATAAGTGATAATAGCTTTACTGGCACTGTACCAGAATTTATTGGGGGATGGACTAATCTTGAAATGCTGTAAGATCTTGATCTGTAGCAAATTTTGATTTGAAATGCATAAGAAGGATTGTGATTTATATAGATCCTCATTTTTTTTTTTTTTTTTTTTTTTGGCCCACCTCCGCTGTGTTGCTGCTTTATTGAAGGGAAATGTATTCAAGTGGACTAGAAGGACCCATCCCTGCTGCAATTTTCAGTCTGGGAAGTTTGAATGACCTGTAAGTAGAAGAGCTTTCTCAACTTTTTCCCTGTTAACTGTAGGGACTTGAATTTTCAACTACAATTGTAAATCTTCTTTATGTACAGGAGGATTACTGATATGAATGTGTCAAAGTTTCCTTTTCCAAATCTGACTAGCAACCGGTTCCAAAAATTGTATGTTTAGTGCTTCTGATTCTTTGTATTTATTTATTTAATGCTAAGCTTGTATCATAGAAGTAGTTGCTGTTAGAATCACTCGGTTACATGAAACTTGTCTTCAGGATTTTGAGAAACTTGAATATGTCAGGATCTGTCGACACCAATAATTTCGAAGTAACCACCACACTGTAAGGCTACACTCACCAATGTATTTATATCTGTTTACAAACATTAATTGCCATGCTTATATATTGTATGTTTTAATATCACCTAGTAAATTCTTTCAGAAACTTAAAGGACCTCACTATCACCAAAGTTTGAAGAACATTGACTCACAAGAATAAGAGACATGATTCTTACCTGGTGCCTTAGTCACCTGTGAAATCTTACAACAATAACCCTTATGTTTGTTTACATGTTATAAAATTGGAGTTGATAATTCTTAAGCTTGGCTCTGAAAAATTATGATATTCAGCATGGTTGTTGATAGCTGGTTACTACATTTATACTGAAAGGGTCTTTCCTATTTCAAAGTGGTATTTCCGTGCAGGTGTGTTCTTGGTAAATAGATTGCAGAGTAACTTGGACCTGGAAATTCTCTATCTAAACTTAAGGACATGGCTAATTTTGCGTGTTTCTATATTTGTTATAATGGATTTATTTCAATGTTGAAGAAGCATGGTAAATAAATTAGGAGGAAAGTCGTGGTATTGTTACAGAAACATAAAAGTGAATTATTTTTTGCACATATTAAATATAGAGGAGTAGATGAAGCTGAAATATCATTTTAAGAAGTAAATGGTGGTTAATGTAAAGATAAGGCCTAAATGTGCATGATCCTTCTTGTGCTAATCAACATATTTTTTTTTTTTTTCCACTTAAAATGTTTTATGTTCCTATCAGAGTGGAAGTGTTTTCTTATAAATGGACCTCAAGAAAAGGCATGGAAAACATGATGAACCTAATTTTAGGCACGACAAGGCATGAGACCCATATCATGTTCTTGTCATGTTGCTATGGTATTGTCTCATATCATACTTGTATTGTGTCTATCTCATGTTTCTGCTGTGTTCATGCTATGTGACACCTTTAGTAATAAATTTAAAATACAGAACATATTTTTTCCTTGTACCTTTACGTATAACCTTTAGTCGTTTATATTTCCTTAGACTTTTGCTAGTATTTATACAGCGATCTGACCTTTAACAAGCTGGAAGGAGATATTAATGGCATTAGAACGACTCCACAGTTTATGTAAGCAACTATGTTTCAGAGTCACTATTTTCTGATGGAAATTGTTGTACTATTACAATTACAAAGAAGTATTATATCACGCTAAAATATATCACGTTCTTCTTATTAGGTTCTTGAGTGGCAACAACCTCAGTGGAAACATACCAGAAACATTCCTTGGCACATCAAAGTATCTGTATGTTCCTAACTTAGATGATTTGGTTTGATTTTCAACTTGATATTAATATAGTTTTTATTTTAGATTATCTTTGAGGTCCCAATCCTCTTTTTTAACTAAATAAAAATACTATCAACTAGTTATCTTTGTACAAATTTTGAGGCAATAATAGTCATTTTCTTTTGGTGGGTGAATAATATTCATTTGCCCATTGCCAAAAAAATAGAAAGAGAGAGAGAGAGAGAGAGAGAGAGAGAGAGAGAGAGAGAGAGAGTTTTCTTTCAATGCTGACGTCCCATTTTGAGTACATAAATGAGAGGTGATTTCATAAACATAATTGTTGCTTCTCTATCTAGTGACTTGAGGTAACCTTTTATACAAGCACATGCTGTTAACCATTCTTCCACCTGCATCCTTCCATGCGTTACCATATAAACAATTGAAGTAACTTCTCTCACAAAGTACAACATTGATATTGCATTACGACTCAATTCAAGAAGGTCTAGGCATCACCACCACCTTCTGTCAAGCTGTTTGCCAAAGCTAGTATACCTGATTTATGCTCAAAATTATGGCCAACTGCTTCCTTAATAGCTCAGAGCTTGAGTTGTTTCATTAAATGTATAAGAAACTATATATGATGAGCTTAGGGAGGGACCTACCCCATTGACAAGGTGCTGTAATATTGTCCTTTGGTAGCATCTTTAGAGTTAAGTGATTAGCTTGTGTAGTTATTACTTCCGGTATAATTTGAAACCTGGATGGAAGTCCAGATTTAATAATTTGGAACCTGAAGCTCTGTAATCAACCACATCTTCATTAACATTTTTTGAAAATGCTCTCTTATTTCAAAATCTTTTCCTCTATGTCTTAATCGATTTCTTGTTGTTGAATTTGGGATGGGATGTACAATTTCTTCTTTGTTTTTTGTGGCACAAAAGGTCCTTTCCACCCAGCAAGATTATCAACTTTGGGTAGTTCTAATGTTGCTTTTCATTTGAGAGCCACTATTTGAATTTTCTTTTTCTAAATCTCGTATTTATTCGTTGCACATATATATAATCTAAAAGTAGATATATGAATTTATTTTTTATCCATTGTTTGCAGTGATCTTTCCTTTAATAACTTTACACCACGAAGTAGTTGTCCAGAGAACCGGTAAACAAATTCGAAATATATCATAATGTCAGCTTAATCCCTTTTAAATCTTCCGCTCATAGTCTCTTTAACTGTTTTATCAGTTATCTAAACATGTTCCGAAGCTTCTATTCAAAGAACAACATGTAAGGCTTCTCTTATTTTATTTAAGGTTTACAGTACTTTTGAATTTATATCACCCTTACCTCAAAGCTTCTCTAGTACAGACATTTGCACCATAAGAAACAAGAAGTACATGTAACCTAACTATCCATATTGACTTAATAATGTTATCTGAAGATAATGGAAAATTCACTTTTATTTTTTTTCATTTTCTCATTTTTGTCTTAAAAAATGCGCGATACTCGTTCACTTGATTATTTCCATTTTTGCAGATAGAACAGAAAAATAGAAAATCACATGTACAACTATAGCTAAAAATACAACAATATGTAAAATATGTCTTTTACAGTTTCTTTCTCTGTTTTATTAACATGTTTCATATTTTTCATAAGATGATAACATAAGCATTACTTTTCTCAGTTTTTTTTAACAAAATGATAACCAGGCATTCTCAAAGTTTGAAAATACAAAATTAAAACTTCTTATTTTCATTTCAATTTTATTTTTGAAAAAAAAAAATAACAAATAAATGAAGAATGCTAGCCAAATTTCGCTAGATACTCATGTTAGTTTCCTCAATAGTCTGCATAAAAATTTAAGCTGGAATTCATTCTTTATATGATGTCAACGATGTGTAAAATCATAGCTCTCTTCACTTGTAGAATCTTTACATGCTATGAGAGCTTTGTTTGTTAGGGATCGGATATAATGATATCAAACTTGTGAAGGTTGCCTCTATATATGTTATACTAATACATATAGATTCTCATGTCATATAGAAGTGGAAATCTTTCATGCCCCAGAATATCCCGCTGTCAAAAACGTAAGTATGATTTCCTGGATCAAAATGTGATTTGCAATTTGTTGAAACTTTTCAATTTGAATACAATCTGATTTTGGAATACTTTCTCCAGCAACTTCTAGGACTTTACATGTATTGAGTATTGTCTCCTCATTTAGTACCAATAGACAGTCTTGTAGCATCAGTATTGCCATGGTATTAAGATAGCTAAGCTTAACAAAACATGATCTTTTGTTGTATTGGTTTTAGAATCAGATTAATCTATAGCTGACCAAAAATAGCAGTGACTAAGGCTTTGTGGAGTGAGATTAAGCTATATATGCTGGTCACAATAACAGAGTTTTGATCATGTACTTAGAAAATTATTCCAATGGTACTAATGATTGCATTATATATGTGCCAGATTATCGGTCACTCCATATAAATTGTGGAGGCTCAAATGTAATTATAAACAATACCATGTATGAAGGTGATGGTGCTAAATATGGAGCCACATTGAATTTCGATCATGGAACCAAATGGGGCTTCATCAGTGCAGGGAACTTCCTTGATTATGCAGGAAGGGATGACAAAAGTTATGTACTATCATCTAAAAATCAATCCTTGATGAGATTCCCAAATTTGTACTCCACGGCACGTGCAACTCCTCTCTTTCTCACCTATTATACATATTGTCTGAAAAATGGGAATTACACCGTGAACCTCCACTTTGCGGAGATATTATTCAGGGATGAAGAACCATATAATAGAGTTGGGAGACGCATATTCGATATTTATATTCAGGTATTTGATTACATTATGAGTAGAGACCACTGTTATTGTTTTTATGGCAACCCTTGTTTTGAAATTACATTTCAGGGACAATTAAAGTGGAAAGATTTTAATATCAAGGAGATAGCTAATGGGACTGGCAAAGAAATCATAAGATCATTTAACACCACAGTGACAGACAATATCTTGGAGATCCACTTGTATTGGGCAGGAAAAGGGACTACTTGTATCCCAGTTAGAGGAACTTATGGTCCTCTCATATCTGCTATTTCTGTATGTCCTGGTAAGTTGTGTAATCTTTTATTAGTTCTGATAACACAACTACTGGTACCTCAATTGATAAAAACATAATTTCAGATCATGTTCATTTGCCTCAGCCAAGGAGATGCAGTAGAAACTGAGAACCTTGTTATTGAGTAACTTGAGCTTCATTTGGATGAAACATACTATAAGAAGTCCAATGTAAAAACTACTTGAGAAATCTATAGTTGAAACAGCTATTTGATCACATTGACGTTTATTTTTATTGGTATTGGTAAAATATATTTAAAAAAATTGACATTCTAGGTTTGATCTTAACCTCAAATTTCTGAGCTATTTTCTTCTAACATAGTCAAGTTTTATCTTGATAGTTACGGCTATAAGTAAATTTTTTTTGGTTCCTCCCTGTTCAGTGACTTGTTATGTAAACAGTGTAAGACAAGCTTGAGCAAATATTGTGTTGTAATTTCGGCATCTTCTACTAGCGTTATTGTCCTGTTCAATGATTTGTCACATTACACTGCTGATTTTGATCAATTGACGGAAGCCTACTGTGATAAAGTATCAAATGTTAAAAGTGCACTGACCGTGGGGGTATACTAAAAACTAAGAAAACTTCAACTGTTTCACCCTAGAGTTTTTCTACTATATAATAAATTGGCAGCGTTCACGTTGGTGTTAATATTCTTCTATATTAGTTTTAGTTGATATGAATATGCCTTGTAAATTATATAAATGTAGTAATGAACTTGAGTTTGATATTAATGTTCTGATATTCTCACCTTGATACTGTTATCTAATAAGCATAACCATTTGATGTTATTTTCAGGTTTCAAATTTAATTGTGACGGTGAGGAAACGAAACTTTGTTGTATAGATCAGGTTTCTGCATGATATCAATGTTTATTATTATAGTTTCTTCTAATAGTTATTTGCCTTTCTTCTTGGTTCATGATTTACTTATCCCAGAACCTAAAAGTATTTTACCTATTGTGGTTGGAGTTGTCACTTCGGTATTATTTCTTATTCTTTGTGTTGTGGGCGTTTTATGTTGGAGACGCTATCGTGAACATAAAAACACAAGAGAAAGAGGTACGCGCTAAATCTTTTGTTTAATTCAATCTTCTTTACTTTTTTTTTTTAATTGCTCAGTTTTCAAATCATTCTTATTTGATTTCAAGATGACCTGCCTTCTGTCTGATTGCTACTGGGCAGATCTTAAAGGGCTAGATCTGCAGACAGGTACCTTCACTTACAGACAACTAAAAGCTGCCACTAACAATTTTGATTCCGCAAACAAGATTGGAGAAGGTGGTTTTGGATCCGTATATAAGGTATTCTGATTGTGTGTCCTGAAAATCTTGTTTAGATTGCTTCCACAACTCTTATCGAACTTCATGGACGTTGACAAGTAAATTATGAATCACTTATTGTAGGGCCAACTATCAGATGGTACTTTTATTGCGGTGAAGCAGCTTTCTTCTAAATCAAGGCAAGGAAATCGAGAGTTTGTGAATGAGATAGGCATGATTTCTGGTTTGCAACACCCAAATCTTGTAAAACTATTTGGGTGTTGTGTTGAGGGTAACCATTTACTGTTGGTGTATGAGTACATGGAGAATAATTGCCTTGCACATGCACTTTTTGGTAAACACGCTGACATTTGCTTCTTGGTATCAGTTGCACTTGCTTATATAAAATGCTTTCAGTTAAGTGACCTCTACAACTGGTTATTGGATGTTATCAATAGGTAGTTCTGGAAGTACCTTGAGATTGGATTGGGCAACAAGACAGAAGATATGTGTTGGGATAGCCAGAGGTCTAGCCTTTCTCCACCAAGGATCAACTCTCAGGATGGTTCACAGAGACATCAAAGCTACAAATGTGCTCCTTGACAGGGAATTGAATGCTAAGATATCAGACTTCGGATTAGCTAAGCTCAGAGATGATGAGAACACCCACATTAGCACTAGAGTTGTTGGAACTATGTGAGTTACAATACCTTTGTTGTCAAAACTTGTAATGCGGTATGAAGGTATAATTTTCTAACATGTCCTTTGATTTCAGAGGTTATATGGCTCCAGAATATGCATTATGGGGGTACCTAACTGAAAAGGTAGATGTTTATAGCTTTGGGGTGGTTGCTTTGGAGATTGTCAGTGGGAGAAACAATGCAGGTTATCGAGCACAAAATGCCTGCTTTTGCCTTCTTGATTGGGTAAATTTCATAAGATCAATATAACTGTTGCTGTGCCTTGGCTGTAGGAAGTTTACATATTACATTCTTTTGCTGGGATATTGCAGGCCTTTGATTTGCAACAGAAAGGGAACTTGATGGATTTAGTGGACGAAAATTTGGCCAACGAGTTCAACAAGAAAGAGGCTGAAAGGATGATAAAAGTGGCCCTGTTATCCTGCAATGCAACTCCATCACTTAGACCCACCATGACAGAGGTAGTTAGTATGCTTGAGGAACAAACGGATATTCAGGATGTGATCTCAGATCCTAGCATCTATAACGGTGATTTGCAATTAAAACCATTGGAAGACCAGAGTTCAACGGGAAGCTCGACCCAAAAATTTTCTTCAGATCAAACATCACTTCTTCGTTCCACAACATCTGCTGACGATCTCTACTCTATCAATTCTGAGAGCATAAGAGGCCTTACATCAGCCCATGATCTTTATCCACTCAGTTCCAATACCATCTCTCTGAACCAAAAAGATGGTTCTTCCATTTCACATCATAGTTCTTGAGTCTTACATATAGTAAGCTAGATATTCAGAGCTAGTTTATATAAATCCTTTATTTCACTTGGCTATAATTTGTATTGCAAATCCTCAACTGCTTCTTAAGTTCGGCTAAAAATATGTTCTATAATATTTCTGTTTTGGTCAAATGTTCATTGAGCCCATGCTCAAACAAAGCATCTTCGTTTGGTGAACGTGTTAATTATGTTGTTCATTGCACTTGTTTATTCTCTTAACAGCTATCAGACTAGGTGATGACCAAGCTCTCTCAATTTCACTGATCATGACAATTTTTGGGTTTTTAAATCTAATTCAATGTCAACGAATGCTTGCTAGAATGTTTTAATAACCAATTCGAGCTGAAACCTAACAAAGTTATAAGGTCTTGGGTTGACCAATTTGACTGGTTGGTCAAATTGGGTGATAAAAAATTTAAAATTTAACAAATACACTTCTAAAAATTCGTTAATTCCTTACAGGTTTAAAATTTAGCAAATATTTCTCAAATACAAATCGGCGGTTGACTGATTGGCGATAGTGACACATCAAATGCAATCTTAATCATCCCTTGAGCTCATTCCCCATAAAACTTACCCAATATCAAGCTGAAATTGGTTTGATTTTGGTCAGATCTCAACGACGCCAGCGTTAGCATTCTAGGTCAAATTTCACTACCACCGGCTTTGACAACCCTTTCCATCACACTGAAAATATTCTTCTCAATCTCCTGACCAAAACCCACTTCACCCCACCCCCTTAGCCTCACCAATCGCCAGTTGTTGTTGTTGCCTTTTTTTTTTCTATTTTCGGTTGATTCACTCATCAGAAAACAATCTCGTCGCCACCATTGCACTCACCGACACTTTCTCTTCAAAGGCCCTAAGATCTCGACCTTCAATTGTTTGTCGATCATTATCCTAATTTTTAAGGTTTTCGATAAATAGTAAAACAGGTAATCCAGCCCAGTAAAAGCCCTGGATTCGATTCAACCAGCCAAACCAGACTAGGTTTTAAAACACTGCTTAGTACAATAACATACTAAAAGTATGATAATCTATTAATAAAAAATGAAAACTTGTTACTTTCTTTTCGAAGAAAAAAAAAGCAATTGAAAACATGCTATAAATTGGTGATGCTCAAAATAAAACATAATGTTCCAACTTGATTAGCTTATAGCTAGTTGACTTATGCCTCAATATGTCTTCTCTCCCTTTTCCCCATGTTTTCTGCCATAGCTCTTCATTGAGCTTCCAAATATAACAAAGGCCGTTGACACAGAAAAAGCTTTACAAAGTTTTCTTCTCTTTTATAAGAGAGGCCACAAAGCATGTGCCTAAACTTTAGATTCACTCAATTTCATTACCCTTTTCTGCATTTTTTTTTTTTTCTCTTGTTTATTTTATTCAACTAAGTTATACCAATTTGTAGACGCCAAGTCAGAGTTTTTGTCTGAAAAAGAAAACTATATGAAAAAGAGGAATCATCTTTTCTTTTAGCATTATTTTTTTCTTAAGCAAATTTCATAGAAAAAGGGCTTAATGCATTACTTTTTCGAAAATCTCACTATCAAGAACCACTTTTAAGAGATTCTTAAAATAATATTTTTTTAATTAAAGTTCATAAAATAAACATGAAGATATTGTTAATAATTAGAAAGTTTTAATAAATAAATAATTGAGTGATATTATGGTGGAGAAAAAGAACAAGTTGAAGGATCTAAGGAAGACCAGTCAACTGAGAATGGAGGCACCCAAACAGGAGAGCACAAAAACGCGTTTTTAGATATATTTTCAGTCAAAAGTCAAAACCCCAAATGTCTTAAAACAACAGCGACAACAACAACAACAAAAACTCTTCGGCAACTACAAAGTCCAAACTTGCCCCACCACCATTACAACTCAACATTAACTAAACTAAACTCAAAGCACTTTTGTTTTTGTTTTTTTAATAATATCATTACATATATACTTGAAACTATTCCTCTCCTTGATGAACTAATAAAACAAGAATCTTTAGCTGCTGCTTCCTCTTCTTCTTCTATGGAAGATCAAATTGTTACTACTCTCTGCAACTCAATCCAAGCTCTGGGTCGTGGCTTTGATGTTACATGTGATATTAGGCTTCTTTACTGCAAGGGGACTCCTGGGTCCAGGCTTGTTTTCTTAGATGAAGATCATGCGAGAGATCTTTTTCTATCTGATTCTGTTGTGGTGCCACGTGTGTCTGTTGATATTGATTATTCTAGAGGCAAGAGGGGCATTGAGAGACTTCCTGTTTGTAGTTTTCATGAGGTGATTGATTTTTAGAAAGAAAAATTTATTCTTTGTTGATCTGTTTTATTTTCTGGAGTTTTCGTTTCTTGGTTTGTTTGTGTTTCGTGAGCTGAAATTTTTATCTGGGTGTCTTTTAATTTTGATGCTTTATCATCTTTATTGCTGGTTTGCTTGCAATTTGTTGTTTCCTGCCCAAATGAGTATTTGGGTCAATGATATATTATCTTGGTTCCGGTGCTTCATTGGGCCTTTTTTCCAATTGGTTTGTTGGCTTGAGAGTTGGTTTGGTGCCATATCATAATCTTGGCATGTGTCGATTCATCGATTTTGATGGGAGTGGTATGATTTTCATTGTTGATTCTTAGTTAAACTGAAGAAGTGTATAGTTCTGATTTGTTGCTCTTCTGCTATTCTGATGGGGCTAAATAGCATATTTGTTTCACCATTGGCCAATAGTAAATGTAGAATGGTGTGGCGGTACATTTATCATCGGTTGGGAACCATCATAGCGATGCCCAAGCCCGTCTCAAACCTCAGACAATGATTGACTGGTTGGACTATGTGTACTATTTGAAAATATTGGGTGCTTCCAATTCACTCTTGGTACTGTAATGCAATTGAAGCCATGGGCTCCTTCGATGAGAAGACAGATAAAGAATAAGAGAATGTGCTTTATTACTACTATTTGGGTTATAATGATTGTGTCGCTCTCTCTCCATTTCTCTTCCATTTCCTCTGTGTTATCTGTAACTGGATGGAGCATTGGAGATTTCTAATTATGAAATGAAGTTTGTGATCATCGTTCATTATCTGTATGATTAAGTGTATATATAAGCTCAGATTATTTATATAGGGATAAGATTTACCTGAGTTCCCATTTTCAAGTAAGCAATTTGTTGTTTTATTGTTTGTTGTAACTTTTAAGCCTAAATATTCACATTTCACCCAAGGGTTATTAGGTTCTGGTTTGAATAGAATGCCCATCTTGTGTGTTCAATTGTTCATGTCAGTTGGAATATCTCATCTATACCAAACGTTTGGCTTGAGTTTTCCTGATTGCAGTGAATGATTCTACTTTCTGTTGAATTTTTATCAAACTCACTTATCAATATCTCTAATAGTGGTCATTGATGCTTGAAATTCCAGATGGCAGGATACTTCAATGAAAAATCTGGGATATTAGGACACATTCCGCTTGGAAGCTTTAATGCCATGTTCAATTTCACCGGTTCTTGGCAAGTGGATGCAGCAGCTACAAAATCCCTTGCAATGGTTGGAAAATTCATTCCCCTTTATAAAGTTAAGTTAGCAAGGCTAAATTTAGTTCTTTGTGAAGAAATCAGGCGTGCTGTTCCTTATTCTTGGGATCCTTCTTCCTTGGCAAGGTAAACATTTCATCACACCTTCTTTTTGCAGCTTCTCAGTTTGAATTCACTTGCCTTCACATTTTTCTATTTATCATCATGTGATATTTCTTTGGTTATAGAAAGTTTTTTTATTCTACAAATTGATAATACATCATCTTTGAATGTAACTCAAAATCTTTTTGATATGTTAAAATGTAATAGAACTTTTGAGAAAATCACCTAACTCCAATCAATAATCATGTACCATTTTTATTGCAAAGAAAAATTACCTGCTTTTACAGGGCAATGGAGCAGATATTATTTGCAAATTGATTAGATGGTAGCATTAATCTTTGCAATGCTGAATCCAGTTATGGAGTCTTGATTAAGTTCTATTTGGCCTTGCGTGTGCCTCTCCACCTTGAGACTGTCCTTGTAGTATGCTAAAACTTAAGCTTTGTGTGTCCTACGGATATAATGAACCCATGCATTCTTGTTTTATTCTATAAAATCTTTTTCTTTATTCCCGTTTACTTTTTTTTTTTTATTGATGATCATTCTTGCCATTATCAATTAGAATGTGATATTTTAGATAAAAGTTATCCATTATCATATAGAGAAGGAAATTAAACTTTTTTTTATGGATCTAGCAAAAATTGGTTGCAGTGATGACGCATCTGATAGGATCCTTAGATCAATTCGTAATTTTGAACAGCACTAGGTTTCTGATTTTTTGTATTCCTGCAGCTTTATTGAGAACTACGGTACCCATATTGTAACATCTGTAACAATTGGTGGAAGAGATGTAGTTTATATCAGGCAGCACCAGTCATCGCCTTTGTCAGTGATGGATATTGAAGACTATGTGAAAGAAATTGGGGATCAGAGGTTTCTGGACTCAAATAGCCACTTAAATGTTGGCCCCTTAAAATACAAGGATAAGGTAATATCATGTCATTGCCTCTTAAGTTTTCTGAGATTGAGGTTCTTGTTGTACTTAAATATTTGATCTACTACTTCCCTTAGCTTGAAAACATCACAGCACTTTCAGCTGGTTGCTTACACTTCAGATTTTGTTTTGAGGAAGAAAATTTCTTAAACATGCACCTATTGCATAGAAAATTTATTTTTGGTTCTGTATTGTGGGAAAATCTGTAATTGAAAATTATTGCTGTAGGATGTTACAGTCATTTTTAGGAGGAGAGGAGGTGATGATCTGGAGCAGAGTCATGCCAAATGGGCTGAGACTGTACAATTGGCACCTGATGTGATTAACATGACATTTACACCCATCGTTTCTTTGCTTGAAGGAGTTCCTGGTATAAAGCATTTGGCCCGTGCAATTGATTTATACTTGGAGTGTAAGTTCTTATTAAACTCTTAGGTGATCTCTTGTTTTGAATTGCACAGATTTAAACATATATTATATTACGTTGATGACAAGAAAGAATGTTTCTATCCTTATCATCATTATACTATTACATATTGCAAGTTCTTCATGGGGCTGATTCAACAATTTTCCAGTCATAACTCCAAAGTCTCGGAGACGTGGAGAAACCTGATCTTCTTCTCTAAATCAGAAAAATTGTTGAAAATAAAGAAGTCCCTAGTTTATATGATTTTTTAGGTACTTATTTCCAACAGGATTATTTTGCTTTTTGGTTGTCCTTATGCCTTTTGTTCTAGTAATCAAAATGGTGATCTATTTGTTGAACATGTAGAATACTATGACAGGACCATGGTGGAATTGATTGGAAGGGAATCATGCTCATGTTTCTTTCGAATTAGATATGTTTGTATCCGTAAAAGCTGTTATTGGAGATGTTTTATTTTTGTGTTGCTAAATACTAATTGGTTGACTGTCCATTCTACTACAGACAAACCACCAATTGAGGATTTACAGTATTTCTTGGATTTTCAAATTGCTCGATTTTGGGCTCCTGAACATAGTAACATTCAAAGGAAGGAGCCTGTGTGTCCTTCCCTCCAATTCAGCTTAATGGGTCCTAAGCTTTATATCAGCCCAGATCAGGTATTCTTCAAGTTTCTAAAACCTACAGTAGTAGATGTAATGGTGAAATTATAATGTACAAATATAGTTGAAATGCAATTTACTTTTATGTCCAAGTTTATTAGAGATTAAATGTGTCTCCCAACTTTTGAAGCTCAACCTACCATGACTTCATCATTTTTTATTTTTCCATAGCACAACGTAATGTTTCATAGTAGTCATGCAAAAAGGAAAAGAAGAAAAGGAAGTTTGGGTCCTGGGTAAATCAAATACCAAGTAGTGGAGAACTTGATGCTCATATGATACATATATGTGGTTTCTGATCAGCATTTCCGTGATCCACTCCTGGAAATTTTGCTTTCAGATTTTGAAATTACTTGAAGTTGTAAGTCTATAGTAGTAACTTCTGTATTAGAACAAGAAAAAGAAACCCAAAAATAAACAGTAGTTCAAATTTCTGCAGGAATGATCAATCTTCTTGTGTCTTGTGTAGATTTACAATACTGAAACTTTAATGCTGCACCCTCTCTGACTTTTGGCTATGAGAGGGAGGATTTGAACATTTGGAGCATTGCTGGACTAAAACTCATATGTTGTTTCAAGTTGATCTCATTATTTTTCGGAAGAGAAAAGTTAATGTGTAGAAATTTTCTTAAAAGCTAGGACTAATTTAATAAATTTTCCTCATTCCGTCAAAGTGTACCAAAAAATACGTGAACCACAATTTATTTTTTCCTTTTGTCTAGTGAAAAAGTATTTATTTATTTATTTATTTTTGCTTTATGGCAAACATGAATGTAGCCCACCTGTGAAGGCATGTATAAAAACTATTATCATGATGTTACAGGTAACAGTTGGCCGTAAGCCAGTTACAGGACTTAAACTTGGCCTAGAGGGCAGCAAGCAAAACAGACTTGAAATCCATTTGCAGCATCTAGTGTCTCTTCCAAAAATCCTTCAACCCCATTGGGATGCCCACGTGGCTATAGGTGCACCAAAGTGGCAAGGTCCTGAGGAGCAAGACAGCCGCTGGTTTGAGCCCATTAAGTGGAAGAATTTCTCCCATGTAAGCACTGCACCAATAGAGTTTACCGAGACTTGCATTGGAGACCTCTCTGGTGTTCACATTGTCACAGGGGCTCAGCTTGGTGTTTGGGATTTTGGTGCCAAAAATGTATTATACCTCAAGCTCCTCTTCTGCAAAGTACCCGGATGTACAATAAGGCGTTCTGTATGGGATCACAGCCCCTCCATCCCTCCGAATGTGCAGAAGCCTGGTAGCGCCTCTTCATCAATTTCAAATGAAAGAACCTCTGATGATAAGAAGGAAGATAGTTCAGCCCACCTTGGTAAACTGGCGAAAATTGTGGACTTGACTGAAATGTCAAAGGGACCCCAAGATTTACCAGGTCATTGGCTGGTTACAGGAGCGAAGCTTGGAGTGGACAAGGGAAAGATTGTGCTGCGTGTAAAGTACTCCTTACTGAATTATTGATTGATTATTTCTATTTTTGTAGGGTTACCCACCCCTTTCCACTTTCAACCATAGTCACAATTCTTTGCACAGGCGATCCAGTTCTTTCTGTACATTATGTTCTTTGTTATCCCCTGGCCCCTTAGTTGTTAGTTACATCATTGATTGTCTAAAGGTGTTGTCCTCTGGATTTTTTTATTTTAGGTTTGTCTAGTGGATGAATAATTTTAAGCATGTTAAATTTATAGATAATTCTTTTCCCAGGTGAAGATTACAACTGAGGTTATCTGCCAATTGATGAGCTTGTATTGTCTGTGGAGATATTTTTGTCAAGATTTGTGTCCAGATTCTTTACTTGTATCATTCTTTCAGTACGAAATTTATGTTATGAGATGACATTCGAAGAATAAAAAAATCATGGTGCTTTATTATTTTTCTGTGTATTTTGCTTTCGACAGGGAACTTCGAAACAAAAACACTGTTTCAGTCTGTTAGAAAATAGAAACAACTATAAAAATGAAACAGACCAAGAAACCTTTGATGAATTTGAGAAGGCCATTTCCTTCTCGGGAAAAACTTATTCGACGTACAAATTGTTGTTGTTTGATTTTGATACTAACAACTTCGTACGTGCAAAGTGTTAAGAGATTTTAAAAAATTATACGTAAAATGATTATGAGAGTTGAATGGGAAACTGTTCTCACAATAACATGCAAAGACATAAAGATAAAGGAAACAGTAAATAATTTTATAATGGTCCAAATGTTTAAAACGAATTCTACATCTATTGTTTTATCTTATATTAATGTGTTCTTGGTTGTTAGCCAAGATTACAACAAGTCGCAAACTGTGATCTAAGGTCACAGGTGCTTGGTATTTTATAGATTCTTATAGAATATCAAATCAGTCTTTTTTCCGTAGTGTGTCTTTGCTATTTTCTTTGTTGAATTCAAAGGGTCTAATCCTGATTTTGTTGAGGGGAGCTGCTTATTTATACCCATTGAACTCAAGATAATGATTACATTTTTGTAAGTGGGTTGGTGCTGTGCAAATCTCTCATGTCTTCTCATTAGTTGAAAACTTAAGAAATATCCTTAAATTAAATGGGGCCGGTTGGGTTGTTGCCAAATTTATTAATAAACAAAACTTGAGTCGGTTGGGTTGTTGCCAACTATATTCTTTTTGTCTTGGGTGATGTGATAGATTCTGGATAACACAAAGTCTTTATGAACTCTGATTGGTGCTCACTGATATCAACTGATATTATCCCTGATTTTTAGGCATAATACAAATCTATTGTACTCTTCCATTGTTCTTTGCAGGGAAACTTTAGCTAAACTACATTGAAAAACTATCATTGCAGGTTAATGCTAGTAATGGAAACAATGCATTTATTTCTATTGAAACGGAAGCAGTATTTAATTTAAGCCGGCAACAAAGTGAATAGACCTTGATTAGAGACATACATAGTCAGTTTCACACTGGACAGAAAGCAATTGACCAATTTGGAAAATTTTGTTGCCCCACCTATGACCATTTCAATTACAACTAGTATCTATTCACCAGTTATTAATCACTGCAACGGAGTTATCGCATCTAAATCTGTCTACATCAACTTGCCGTCAACATTCTGTTTTCATTACTTTCATTTAAACAAAATAAATGGCGCCTTTTCTTTGGCTTCTTGAACAGAGACATTTGGTTAAACAAATAGTTGGGTGCCTTTCATCATTGTTTGTTTAAGTTTCTTCTTGTGTGCAGCATTAAGCTTATATGTATAAATACTAACAGCTGAAATATCTGAACAAAGAGGCAACATTTATGTCCAAGAGATTGAGGACAAGAGGTGAAAGTGTTGGGATGCTTTTGGATTACAGTACAAATTCTTTCTGCTTGTCATGTTCCTTCTTTGAAATAGCTATATTCAAAATGAAATATTTAACTTTTCTCACTAACACTTGGTGAAGGAATTTGAGTTACCCCTTGTATGTATCACTTAAATGGCACTGTATCTGTCTGTATCCTGTTGATCAATCATTAGTTAACAGTTTCATGAGAATCTCTTCCTCAGAGTCGGCAAGATTCGCCTACAGATGAAGTCACCTTCATGCAAGCAGAAGAGCATTGTATTTTTAAATTCTAAGTAATTATAAATAACATGTTTTCATATCTTGTATTTGAACCATTTTATATACAGTGCTTTGCCTAAGCTTGTAATAATCTGAACATTATTAGAAATCTGCAGAGGCACCCAAGGAGCCTAGCCAGGAGCTATGGTACCTTCTTATTCTCATTTTATGTATGTCTCCCTTTTATTTTTTTTCCAAATTTATCCCAAATAAATTTCTTATTTCTTTGCAGGAGACACCTGAGCACATTGAAGGAAAGGTGGACTGGAAGGGAAGACAAGCTCTCAAGTATAAACACGGGGGAAGAAAAACTTCTTTGCTCATACTAGGTAGATAACTCTACCGAATATTCTCAATATATTATTGCATAGTACTGTCAAAGAATTATTGCGTGAGTCTTCTTCTATAGAATTCAAGAGTTGTGTTCATTTTGATAGATCACGCACTTCAATATAGCACATTTCGGTTTGAATAAGTTGTCCATCAAATTTTTTAATTTTGGGTTGTGTTTCGATTGCAGCATCCTTTGGTTTTGAACAAATGGCTACTTTTGCACTGGCTGTGAACTTCGTGACGTATTTCAATGGAGTTTTGCATATGGAACTAGCTGATGCAGCTAACCAAGTGACAAACTTTATGGGTACTAGTTATATCCTCTCCATTCTGGTGGCTTTCCTCGCAGACACTTACATTGGAAGATACAAATCTGTGATAATTTCAGGAAGTGTTGAGTTTCTGGTACGATTATCAATAACTGATGCATCTTAATCCTGAAAAAGAACTAACAGTTAGAAAGAACATTCTGACACCATTAAAAAGATATTCATGGGAAATACTAACTGTTCTGAATTCAAGAAAAACGAAAATTCTGTCCAAAGTTTTAGATTTCCTTTCTGCTGCCTAGGAACTCGTTGGCGAATCAACTACTCATTTTTTTCTGTACGCTGCTTATACAGGGACTGGTGTTGCTAACAATACAGGCGCACTACCCGAATCTTAAGCCACCACCTTGTAATGTCTTTGATCCAACTTCTCATTGCGAGGAAATTGAAGGTGGTAATGCTGCACTTCTCTTTGTTGCAATCTACTTGATAGCTGCTGGGACAGCGGGAATCAAAGCTGCACTGCCTTCTCACGGTGCTGATCAATTTGACGAGAAAGACCCGCAAGAGGCTAGGAATATGTCCAGCTTCTTCAATGGCCTCTTGCTAGCCGTATGTCTTGGTGGTGCAGTTAGTTCAACTCTCATTGTGTGGATTCAAGACAACAAAGGATGGGATTGGGGATTTAGCCTATGTACTATAGCTATATTATTGGCTGTGATCATTTTTGGAGCTGGATTGCCACTATACCGAATCCAAGTTGCTCAAGGGACTAGTGCCATCATTGAAATTCTACAGGTTTGAATTCGTAATCATGTCATAAAGTACTGTAAAAGTCAGATTTGAATGTGTAGGTTTGTGTCAGCTCATATCCTTTTTGACACAATTTTTGCTTGATGGGCAAGTATGTACGAAACTACCGAACTGATGCAAAAATAGCTTCCAGCCATAAATCAGTTTTATGGATGCATGCCAGATCAAGAGTGATTTATTTGTTCTTTTATTGAATTCAGGTATATGTTGCAGCCATCCGTAATAGGAAACTTCAAATTCCTGAAGATCCTAAGGAGCTTTATGAGATTAAGGACAAAGAAGCTGCTATAGAAACTGAATTTCTAACTCATAGAGATATTTTCAGGTCAATTTTCTTAAATTTCCAGTTCAAAGTGTTGTTAATATCTCTTACCTAAAACTTAATAGAAGTGCAATTTTCTTCTGTACATATATGTTCAGGTGCCTGGACAAAGCAGCAATCCAGACACAACCTACAGGACATACTGGGAGACTAGAAGCTCCAAATCCATGGAAACTTTGCAGGGTAACACAAGTAGAAAATGCAAAAATCCTACTAAGCATGGTTCCAATATTTTGTTGCACCATTATAATGACCCTTTGTCTAGCTCAACTTCAAACTTTCTCCATTCAACAAGGCGCCACAATGGACACAAGCCTCACTAAATCTTTTGACATACCACCAGCTTCAATACCCATCATCCCAGTCATATTCTTGATCATTATAGTACCTGTCTATGATCGCATAGTTGTACCCTTCGCACGCAAG